TATATAAAGTTGCCAAAAAGAATTATTTAAAGTTCTGGGATCAAGTGAAAGGACATGGCACATATCCAAGTCCACAATTTAAGCATTAGTTCACACATTTCTCTTAATGTTCTGTCATTATGACATTTAAATTGCTCCATTATGTATAAAACAACACTTTAGAGTCAAATGACCAACACAATTTATTCTCTGTAAGTTCAGAGTAAATATATAAATAAATAAAAAGTTATGGTCTGCCTTTTTTTCAGCTCCTGCAACTTTTTTTGGGACACGGTATAATCACTTGCTCTTGTTTTGTGACATAAAAGTCTGTTTCTATCTTCTGCCCTCTAATTTTGAACAGGGATTCATGTTGTTTCTTTGGATTGCAAAAATTTTATTAGTTTTATTTATGAACTACTGATGTGAATCATCACTCTAAGCCATTAGAAGCAAATCAGTTTTAAGTTACAATTAAACAAAGAGCACAGAGAGGTGTATCTTTTTGTTTTTAGGTTTTATTTGTAGTTTGCAACAGCCTCAAGACAGCAAACAGTGCAACGAAGACACTTAATGATACTGTCTGCCCAGGGCGGAGACAACCACAGCCAGGAACTTCTGCCAGGCCTCCTGTGCTCCAGCRGTGAAGACACTGGGTCCAAACTTGGCAGCCACAACCACAGTGATGCACTCAGCAAGAGCCTAAACACAAGAAGAAAGTGACAACAAGGGTATTAAAGGAGAGTTTATTAAAACACTAAAATGTTTCTTAAGAAAGATCAAAAACCTACCCTGAAGTTGTCGGGATCCACGTGGAGCTTCTCGGAGTGCATCACGCTCAGCTTGGCGTAGGCGTTCTTGATGTTGTCCAGGTTCTTCACGGCGGTCTCCAGTCCACCCATGACCACCTTTCCATGGTTGATCACCTTGGCGTTTCCGGTAATGGCAGCGTAGGTGGACAGGTTTCCGAAGGATCCAAAGTGTCTCTGTGTCCAGGGGTACACAACCAGAAGCCTGATTTGGGAGAAAACACACAACGTTTGATTTTATTATTATTTTAAGAACAGGCAGCCAAATGCAAAAAAGAAATAAAGCATTTAAAAAAGAAAACTTGCAGGTTTACAAAATGCATGAAAGGGTCACCTGCAAAGGGCCTGGGGTCCGATCTCCCCCACATCAATCTTTGACCACAGGCCAGTGATGGCACTGCGCTCGGCATCTGTCCACTCGACCATGGTGACGGTGTTTGAGTTTATTCTAGAGTGTTTCTACGAGTATCTGCCCAATCTTAGCTTAGCTTTTTATTAATTTCACAATGCCACTCCTCTCTGCTCAGGAGGCGYCTGATTGGAGGAGAGTCGGTGCAATATTGGGTTATACCCACAATGGTTATCACTGCCTTCTGGAGAAGGCTGATAAGAAAAGAAATTAAAAATATGGTTTTATAGCCTTTGAATATCAACTCTGACAGATAAAGTAAAAAAAATTAAATAAGAAAAATTAGGGCATGTGTTTATGCTTTGTATATTACAGAATGTCATAGAATCAAGTTGTTTTAATTACATTTTTTTTACCATTTTTCAAAATCACATGAAGACTTCATAGGAGCCTCTAATGAAAAAACAATAGCATAAAAAGTAACCCTTCTTTATAAAAATGTTTATTTGTTTAATTTTTTTCACTAATGCTGCAGCTTTGTTCTTAAACATGCATTATTCTTTTTTTCAAGTGTACCATCCAACTATGTTGTATTTATCATAAAAAGTATGAATCCTCTATGTTTTAACTAGCTGAAAACTTGAGAACAGGGTATATATTTGATATGTGATGCAGTTGGAGTTGACTTTTTTCAAAGTCAGCACCTAAATTCACCAAAATTTTCAAACTGGAGTGTGGTATAACTCATGGCAGGAAGCAGACAGGAGTCTTTTTGGAAAGGACACCTTTTTGGCACCAAAACTCCAAGTGAGATTGGAGCATGAGTCACTGGGAAAGCTTTTATTTTGGATTAGTTTTGACATCTGTGCTAATCCCAATTCAATGTCTTTGTCTAACCACACTGCTAACACATGCACGAGTCAAGTAAAAACAATAGGAGTCGATCAMAGCAGTGTTCACATACACTGCAAAAAAATTGTTCTTTAACCAAATTTTACAATCTTATGTCCAGCCCAAAAATAGTTTTGATCTTGGTATTCTAAGCGAGCAGAATGTGTTCAGTTCTTAATTAGCCTGGATTTTATTGCTTTCCTTATTTCAAGAAGTGCTGCACTTGCAGATWATTTTACTTAATTTGAGAAGATTCGCACTGATGGTTGATTTTTGCAGTGGACACTCAAAAAAAAACTGATATAATGAATCCATCATATCATATCTTGGATTTTTTTTTCAATTAGTTCCACTCAACTGCATTAAGTAAAGGAAACATAATTTAATTTACCTAAAGTAAATGTAAAGTAAATGTCTTACATTTACTCAATAAGTAGAATCAGTTGACATAATTCTTTAAATATAAACCCAATATATATGTTTTTTGAAAGTAAAAGGTGCAGA